TTTTTTTTTTTTTTTTCCCGGCCTTCTGATGTGTTCCTGAAGTGGCCCTCTGACAGCAAAATCACTGCAGAATGGGGTCTGAACTGCTGCTGCAGATCCTCGCAGTAACCAGCCAGTCTGTAAAGCTTGTCATTTCATGTTGACATCAGCAGTCTTCTGCTCTGGCCTTAAACCACCGATACATGGCCTGAACCAAGTTGAGGATCGCGATTGAGCCTCTTCTAAGAGTTCGGAGGCTCGGGGCAGGGCCTCCGAAGGGCAGGTGGAAAAAAAGAAAATCATCCCGAGCCTTGGGGTGGGACCAGGCGCAGCACTGAACAAAAAGGGACAACATTCCGCCCGCCCACCAGGTGGGCCCTGTCCTGAGTCCCGGAACTTTTCCCAGAGGCTCATTCGTGATTCTCCAGATGTTCTGGTGGTCTAACCGGATACGCAGTCAAAAATTGGTACCAAAAAAACTCCTCGCAATCCCAGCAGGTCCAGGTGCACCTGAAGTCATACGTACAGTCTCTTCCCAAAATAGTTAAAAAAAAAAAGTCTCATTATGGCTTCGGTTTCGGCCTGTGATACCTAAGGCTTGACCGTTGCCAGTAAAAGCTGCTGTTGTGAGGGATGGCAGGCCTTTTTCCTGGCGATTAATACAAATGTGCTGTTGGCAGGTGCAGCCAGACTTGTCCTCTGGGGGCTGGTCCACAGGGAGTGAGCAGCTGGACCACGCATAATCCTTTTCTTTTTGAGAAATTGGCAGGGAAGCCGAGGGGGGTAGGAGAGAGGTGGGGGGTTGGGGGAGGGGGGGGGGGGGGGCGGGGGGGTTGTGGGTTGTCCTGGGACTTGTGGGTAGGGTGACCCACCCCATCCCAATACTATGTGGGTTGGGTGGTATAATGTGGGTCGGGTCCGACCCACATTATACCACCCAACCCACATAGTATTGCCTGGGTCAAATAATAAACACCACCCATCATAGTATCGCATAGCAACATCTAGCAGTGCACAGGGTCGAGATGTACTAATGTTGCCCATGTGTGCTTCTTTAAACCCCCCCGATTCTCGCTCTCATTCCATCCACGGATCATCGTAAACCATCCATTAAAAAAAAAGTATAGATAGGTAGTCTGTGTGTGTGTGTGTTTTCTAAGCCAAAGCCAGCTAGCTAGCATTAGAGTGAAGCCAAGGTCGCGTAATGGTTGCACAAGAATGATGACAGAGGTACAAAGATATGGATTCAAACTTCAACCTGATCTTGATGGACCATAGGAAAGAGAAGACAGAAGATGATACAGTTTCCAGCACAGCACAGGTGTTTTCAGCCTCACCATTCACACTCAACACATGCTCTCTCTCTCTCTCTCTCTCTCTCTCTCTCTCTCTCTCTCTCTCTCTCTCTCTCTCTCTCTCTCTCTGTGTGTGTGTNGGTAATCCAAAATGTCATCGAACAAGATCAAATGTCGCGGACAATAAGTCACCAATGTCGGAGATACAGAGTCCTAATGTAACCGGTGTCCAATCTGTGATGCAGCCGAGTATCATCCCCAACAATCTTCAAGTTTCGAACCCGGTAAGTACCACAGCCTCTTACCACCGAAGTCCCCACTGATCTCTGTCCAACTAGTATAAGTCTCCAGTCTGAAGAAGAAGAAGAAGAAGAAGAAGAAGAAGAAGAAGAAGAAGAAGAAGGAGATGAAGTCTGAAGAAGAAGAAGAAGGAGAAGAAGGGAGAGATGGCAGAGGAGGAGAACGAGGTGAGGAGGAGGGAACGGGACCGTGGAGGGAGGAGGAGAGATCCTCGCCTCCTGGTACCTGCCCGGCTGCTGTCGAGGCGGCTATGGCCGCCGTGCTGCTGCTGGCCTCCTCGCTCGCTGCTGCTGCTGCGCTAGCTCGGGCTGCTGCTGCTGTCCTCCGCTCCTGCGCTCAAAATAGCGCTGCTACTGCCAACCGATACGCACCAGCATTATGCCGGTGGCTCGATGCCCAAACTGAGGCCGGACCGGTCTTTAGTACCGGTGGGGCAGGGGCCGGCCTTAATGCTGCGAGGCCTGGCCGTGCCCTGAACCGTCGAGATTGACGGTTCAGCCCCAACCGGCGGGCGGCAGCCTCAAGAGCGCCGCCAGGCCCAAACGGTAATGTCGTTTGGGCCTGCCCGTCGGGTCTGGTCCCAAAATGTGGCCTTTACGGCCTGCTGTACCCTAAGTCCGGGCCTTTAGGCCCTACTGTGTCCTCCTGGCCCTAAGTCGGGTCCGGTAGGACCCGTGTGGCATCGAAGATGTAACACCTGGAAACCTAGACGCAAGACCTGACCAGGGCTGGACCTAGATCAGGACATGTTGCAGATATTCAGATCGGATCCAGATAAAAGATGTACCGCGTGAGCCAGAAAAGAAAATGAGAAAGAATTCGCGTTCAATTCGGACTTGACTCGCCACCAAATGTTGTTTGCTAACTTCGCTTGTAATACATTGTATAATTCTACAGACACTCTTTTCTTCTCACTGATTTTCTGAAATGTTTTTTTCGAAAACAGGAAAAGAAAATATAGATATATCATGGGTGTTTTGCATCTGGATTGGCTTTCCAGATCCCTCAAGAGAACCTAAACACAACTTTGCTTGGCATCATCTGAGGCTGTGATTGGAACACCAAATCAAGATGCAATGCACTGGGACCCCCAAAAAAAGCCGGACCAGATGGGTCAAGGTTTGCACCAAATGGTCCCATGTCCAGACCAGATGGGTCAAGGTTTGCACAGAATGGTTCAAACAGTGTGAACCAGATGGTTCAAGGTTTGCACCAAATGGTCCAAAAGGTACGACCTAGACGGGTCAGGGTTTCCACTGAATGTTCCAAAGTATGGATGGACCAGATGGGTCAAGGTTTGCGCCAATTGGTCCCAAGAACTATGAACCAGATGGGTGAAGGTTTGTGCCAAATCCCCCCAAAGAGGGGTCAGGGTTTCCATCTGAATGGTCCAAAGTACAGACCAGATGGGTCAAAGTTGGCACCAAATGCTCTTAAGAATGGACGAGATGGGTCAAGGTTTGCACCAGGTGGTCCAAGCAAGGCCCATGAAGGCGTGGCAGAGGGCAAAATCCGTGCAGCGGGACCTTGGCTGGCTCTTTGCTTGGGGTCAGGTCTCTAGTAGGCCCTGAGCAGGGAGACCTGTGGTAGATGTGGGCCTTGTGGTGGTGTGAAGGGCAACGCTGTCCCGCTTTTTCAAAAAATTCCAAATCATTCTCAACAGTTTCTGAGCTGAGTGTGAGCTCCAAAATATCATCATAATCTTACATGTTATGACTAGAAGACTCTAAATCAATCCATGGGTCCACAGATTCCATATTTGAGAGTCAGAATCACTTTCACCCTTCCCCCTCTTCACACACACACACACACACCAGACACACACACAGACCCCATGTTTGACAGTCAATATTGATCCATGGACTCATGGAGTGAGATTATTGCAAGTTTTTCAGGGCCATGGAGGGTTTTTTCCCCCGTTATGTTTTTCTTTCCTCCCCCCCCCCACCTGGTTGATGTCTCAGAGATCCAATTGGGAGAAGCACAAAATGTCAAAAACCTTTAAAAAGACTCGTAGAAGGGTCATTTTCAAAACCATTGACTTCTGCTGGGGGTGAAATCTTGAAAAGATCCACCTTACAGGCTTACCCTCCATTACTTTTCTTTTTATTTTAAATCTAACACCCCCCCCCCCCCCCCTCTCTCTCTCTCTCTCTGTGTGTGTGTGTGTAGGCCCTCTCTCTCTCTCTCTCTCTCTCTCTCTCTCTCTCTCTCTCTCTCTCTCTCTCTCTCTCTCTCTCTCTCTCTAACTGCACAACTGCAAAGGGATGATGTGGTACAGTGGGCTAAGTGGGTCAGACAAAGCACGAGGTAAGGGGTCAAATAGTCCCCATGGTCCTTACCCAAGTATCACTGCTCGAACAGCCTCAGGAGGGCACATCTCCAACGCTCGAAATATCTGGTTGTACCTGCATACATGCCAAGTGCAGTGTTGTATGTTAGAATTCAACATAGGCTGCACGTCCTGAGGTAATTTCTATTACTTTCTCCCACATCTCCCTTTGGTCCACAATGCCATTCTAAGAATTCAGGACTGACTCCGTTTTGATTCACGCGATGTCATTAACATCTAGTCGTCGTTCTGATGGAACCGCCCTCAAAATTCTGCCGGCTCCCTGCAGCACCCTCTTATCCCAAGACATAGTTCTTTGGTGCAAGCGCAAGCACAGACAGGTGCAAAGAGGCCGGCCCTATGTGTTTCAGGGCCTCGTTCCCTCTCAAGACACTTTCCTCCAAAGCCCCCAAAAAATTCGGCATTTTTCAATCTCAAGCCGATTTCCTCCAAAGTGCTATGCTCCTGCTTAAAAGCATGAAACTACCTAGCTGTAAAGATGACAAGCTTCACGTTTTCTTTGTTACGAACAGTGCACAAGTGCTTCCCGACCCTGAGGGAGCATGCATCAGGGCAGGCTCAAGCTCAACCCTGCATTCTCCACGAGCCCCGACGCTGGCACCAAGGAGATCCAGGTTTCCTTGGGTTGACCGCAAAATCTTGCACGGCCTATAACGGCTGCATCTGTCAGAATGTGATGCACACAATGGGACACCATGTGTGACAATGATTGGGAATTTGGGACACCAAACGGGGCACCGATCGGAACACGAATCGGGACATCAACTGGGACACTGATTGGGACACCAATGGGGAGACTGACTCAGATACCACGTGGGACATAAATCAAGACACTGATTAGGACAATTGGGACACCAATTGGGACATAGAGTGGGACACCAGTTTGGACACCGAGTGGGAGATCGACTGGGAAAATTGATTGGAACACAGCGCGTAATAGTGATAAGAAAATAGTCGTTCGTTTTCTGATCATCACAGGCAAGTGCTGAGAAACAGAAGGCAGCAGTTGGGTACAGGTATCATTGCTTATAAACTGATTGCGGTATCAAACAACAATAAATGGTGTTTTGATTCAATACTGTTATGATCCCTCAGGTCGCTTGACAGTGGCGCTTAAGTCTTGGGGTTCGCTCTGCCTGCAAAATTATTAAATGCAAAACAATCACATGAGCACACACACCAACACAGCAATTGAGAGCCTTACGGTGGGAGAACGTTGTCTCTCTCGTCCCGCAGAAGCTGGTCAATCTCCCAAAGGCAATCAAATCCAGCAGTGCCAATCACCAACTCGCGCCATTCTGCAGGTAACATGCGCTGCAAAGGAGACCAGTGCCTACTCGACGTGCCTTCCTCCATTGCCCCCCTATTGTCATCATCAGTTCTTTGCACTGCCCTGAAGTCTGAGTGTGCGGAATGTGAAGACGATGACGAAGAAGCATGCGATCCTGATGTGGGTTTGAAGGAAGAGCCATGCTGTCTCTGCAAGTCGTGGAAAGAGGAGGACGGCAAAGGAGACGAACATGATGCCACAGATATTGAAGACAAGTTCCCTGGCACCTCGGTGGATGTTGGCCGTTCTGATTCAGAGGAGTTATGTCCAAGCGGCGGCGGCCTTGTCGACAGGGATCGCACTCCTTTAGACGAAGTTACTGTTCCCAGCTGATTGGCGACGCTATTAGCACTAGCCAATGTCTCATCATCTCTTAATACAAAAGTTGAGCTCGTCTGTGGTTCCTGGTCTTGACTACTACTTTGCACCCGGAACTCAACAGTGGAATCTGCACTCTCCTCCATAGCACTCACAAAACCACCTCCCTCCTCCTCATCGCTATTATCTATCATGCCCTTTATGGGGTTGTCCTTCCATACCCCTTTCTCCTGTTCTCCATCATAGCACCTCTCAGATTGATGTGATCCTGTACGAGCAACCGAGTCCCACTGCTCACCCTTATGCACCCCTCGGTCGCTTTGCCGTGGACTACCGGTAGCAGCCGAGACCTCGGCTTGCGAGGGAGTTGACACATGGCTGACCATCGCCTCTGCCAAGTTCCCTCCGTTGCTCCCACTGGCATCACTTTCTTGTTTGCTCTCTGTGACATGCTCTCCGCTTCCAGCACGCTCGTCAGACTTGATCTTCTCATCAAATGAGCCGTCCATTTCCGTCTGCATGCCCCTGCTGCCTCCAGCAATCGACGGGTTCTGCCGCTGACCTGGGACACGATCAGCTCCAAATATTTCCCCCATCTCACTGTTCAGAGCATTCTCAAGCCGCACTCCAATCTCATTCATTTCGTCCGGCACACTGCAGTCCTCAGTGATCGGCAGCGTCCGCCGGTGAACATCAGCAGGATGGAGATCTCCCATGGACAACCCCCTCAACCTCGTACTAGCCTGCAGGTTGCCCTTTCGATCCTTCCTTGCTGCTGCCGCCTTACCCTCTAATTGACTGTCAATCTCCAATCCCCTCTGATTTTCTGAATCCTCCACGGAGATTTTCGGACCCACTCCATCACGAACGACGATGTCTTCTACAGAGAAACCGGGATTTCCTTCCAAAAAAACTCCGCCTCCCTCGATTAGTCCTGAAACTTCTGCCCTGGTCTGACGTTGACCCGATCGAGCGTTTTCACTTTCTACAGCCTTCTCTCGGATCTCTTCTGTCCTCCCGGGTATGCTGTCAACCTTCTGCTCCACCATCATTTCCGACAGGAGACGTGCACGCAGAGAAGCTGAGAGGGTGCGACATCCCTCACGCCCGACGAGGTTATGGCACATGTAAAGCCAGAGATCCTTGTTTTCTACTTGCCCACAATGTTCATTCACTCCCTCCTCCTCCTCTTCTCCTCCGACTCTGAATGGCGCGCTAACCACCTGAATCCCAATCCCCCCCACATCAGATGTACGGCCATATGCTTCTGACCGTGTGGATGAACAGATCCTCTGATTGCACACAATCGCTGACGCGAGAGCAATGGCGCCGGCATCACCAATCCCATTCACACCTAGCTCAAGCACCTCCAAGCTCCTGAACGACAACCAAGCACACAAACACAACGTAGTTGTCAAATAGTTATCACATAGTTGTGTCACATAGTTGCGTGTCACAGTTGGCACATAGTTGCTACATGGTTGTCCCAAGTCTAGTATCTGTTCTGCTCAGCTTAATATCTGCTCCGTGGTCCATCGGGCCACAGTCACAAAAAAAAAAGAAAAAGAAAAAAAAAGTCACCTAGTTGTCACAAGAGCATGAGAGGTATAATCAGAGGTTGAGGGAAAAGCAATGCCGACAGATTGTTGCAAAAATGCTCCCAGCGGCGAGGGCATCTTCACTGGTTATGTGCCTGCTGAAAGTGCGAAGTAACGAAGTAACCTTTCAATTAGAATTGAGCCAGAACCGTGCGTGGGTTTGGATACACAATAACTGCGGGTATGCTGTCGGATGAATCCCGTGGAGGAGGGGGGGGGGGGGAGAAGAGCCATGGGTTTGCAATTGGTTTTTACCCTTGGATGTACTTCCTGTGTTCATCGTTCATTCCTGGGCTCATCATGAGGAGGCAAGCCACTGTCTTCACCCGAAAATATTTTCTTTCTTTAAAAAAAAAGGAGAGGAACAGGGGACTTTGAATTGCTATTTTACTATTTTTATTTAAAAAAGAAGAAAAAAGAATGTCTGGTCATCATAGCTGTATTTGGGTCAACTTTCAACACAGCGATAATGACCGGGCATCTAGGCTACCAGAATGGCCCGGGACCACTTGCCCAGCCCGGCCAAAAAGGGGGAAAAAAATAAATCGATGTGACCTTGAGGCAAAAGTTATTCAGTTCATTTTTCTGCATAACATTCTTTTTTTTCAGATTGTTTGGATTTTTATTATATTATTATTATTATTATTCCTGGGACCTTCTTTGGTCCTTGCACGGTTGAACCGCCCAGGTAAACAAGGTGACCCGGGTGGACCGGCTGGTAGTGCTTTGCAGACTCTCTAACCCTGATCTCATGGTTCTGCCAGACCTTGAGGCCAGAACTCGGCACCAGACCCGGAGACCTGGTGTTACATACTCGTGATTTTATCAACAGGTATGGGTGTGGCAGACTGCGTAGCCACACGGGCCCTGTAGGACCCATCCCGGACATTCAGCCTAAAAGCCTAAAACTTAGGAGCTACAGGCCCCGGTCGTTTCAGCCTGAAAACTGAAAAACGAGGGCCTGCAGGCCCTACTCCGTTTCAGCCTATTTCTGGGTCTTTCAGACCCAGAGTTTTTCCAGCCTGAAACGGAGGGCTATTCTTAGGCCCTGGGCTATTTTTAGGCCCTCATTTGTTTCGACCTGCCCTAAGATTCGGGCACGGAGCAGGCTATTTATGGCCTGTTCCCACGCCAGCTCGAGCAGGAGCTGCAGCTGCAGCCCCTGCCTCCCTGCGGCATTATTGGCAAGAGCACAAGCAG